ATAACTATATTTGTTAATCTGAGCAACAGGTTTGACAATAAAAAAGATATATCAACTATTATTAATCAGCTATTCTTGTTCTAAAGATCTGTAACATCTGTATTTTTGTATATTAACCTGTTCTTTGTTTCTGACCTGTTTTTGTTTTAGTTTTTACTTTTCAAAATAAAGTTTTAAAGAAAAGAACTCTAGATTTCGTATTAGAAATACATAGACAAAATATTTTGGGCTCTATACTATTTCATGCTCCATGAAAGTCACCCTGTTCTAAAATGCATGAATATCACTAGTTAATATTCTCTGAATGATCTCTACTGTAAAGAGACATGCATTATGGCACTGATGAATTAAAATGCTTACCATTAGTCTTAGAGGTTTCTGTACTATTAGTTCTAAAGTCTGGTAGTTGTTTATATCTAGATTACTGCTTCCCTAAAAGAAGGATGTTTTGTATGGTTTGTGAATTTTAGCACTTTCATTAAACCATTCTTAAAAAGCATCTACAATTCTATAATTATGAAATTGCTGTACCAATAAAAATTGACATAAACATAAAATGTGGTTTATTCATGCTTTTGTGGTCATGGGACAGTTATTCATCAGAACAAGAATTTTAAAATTGAATTTTAGAATCAATATTATCAAAGAAAGTATTTTTATAAACAGTGGCTAAGTTCCTGTTCAGGTTTTTTTTTTTTTAATCCATCTATTAGAAAATTAACAGATGGGTATTAACTTTAGAATTAGAGACCAGGGATTTTAAACTTACAGATTAGGAACGTAAAGAGTAAGTTTCAACCATTGTCCTCTTACATAGGAAAGGGATTTACCCTGCCTAGAAGAGATAGTTTAGCTGGTTTACTAGGTGAGTCAGGAAAGGAATGAAGATGGCAGGGTTTAGGCAATGTGAAGAATGATTAGTGATATGGCCAGAGAATCAATTACATGAAGAAGTAGGGATGAACACTAGTGAAGCCATGGAAGGTTTCTATCTCAATGAAAGGGGTGGGGGTAGTGAATGTTTGAGTAGGTGAAAGGTTTTGCTATTCAGAGATATTATGGTAAAAGCAAGTGGGAGTGAATTTTGAGGAAAGGTTATCTTAAGAGACATTACATGGTAGAACTGGCATCACTGAGAAGAATATAGGGACTGGAAGATGATAAAAAGTTAGTGCAGCAACATATGCCTGGGGAAACAAACACAGAACTTGGCCTGGGCAAAAAAAAAAAAAAAAAAAAAAAAAAAAAAAAAAAATGCTTATTTTATGTGTAAGAATGTGTGTGCATATATACCTTGGTAAGGTACAACAGATTATAGGAAAACTAATGTAAAAATCTTTAAAGTTGTTTTCCTTAAAAATCAGGGTAGGACCAGATGATCACTTCTATAGAAGGAAATACAGAATGACAATAAAACAATTTATTTTGGTAACTCTCTGGAAGATTTGGACACAGGGAGCTTTTTTCAAAGAGGCCAGAGTACTAAAATAAATCCAGCCTTACATCTTTTTTTGCCCCCAGAGAAATTTAGTGAATCTTTGTTACCTGTTTGAAAGAAATCTCTTCTCTAGGTACTTAGCAATTACAACTTCTTGTACTTTCCAGTATTTCTTACTTATCTTGGTCAATTCAAGAGACAGTCCAGACATCTGGATTGTTAAAAAATCTCAACATACCGGTGTTTTGGAGACTCTGACTTCAACCTCTGGGGCTAGTGAAAATAAAGCCTTTATTAGCGAGGATTTTCCAACATTGCTTCTGCCTATGAAACACACCTTATATAGGAAGAAAGAAGAGAAATGAGCACCAAACAATTTGAATATTTATTCAATGCTGTATTTGATTATGTCACCAAGCTATATAGACTGGTTTATAGCTAGTCAAACCTCAAATCCTAACACACAGCTAATACTGAAAAGATTTCAAGGTACCAATACATTTTTTTTTTTCTAATTTTTTTAAACTACAATCCTGAGGAGCATAATATTACATTTTACAGATGTGAAAAATCTGGTCCAAAATTATACAACTAGAGAGGAGAGGTACTGGGACCTGAATTTACATTTATCTTGAACATTTATATCCACAGCCTTTACTTTTTTTTTTTTTATTTATTTGAGAGAGAACTAGAGAGGAGAGGTACTAGGACCTGAATTTACATTTATCTTGAACATTTATATCCACAGCCTTTACTTTTAATTCCCCTATGCTACTCAAAAATGCCTGTCAACTTCATTAAGCATTTCATATTTATAGCTTTTTTTTTTCTTCGAATGCCCTCAGGGGTGGTTTGGCTGGCTGGAGTGTTGTGGGGATCGAACTACAGCAACCTGAGGCTGACAGCTTTGCGGAAGCAGCCACTTAAAGAACTGAGCTAGGGCCAGGCCCCTATATTTATAGCTTTCTGAAGTAAAAAATGTTACTTCAATAAACTGGCTCAAATGTACAAATACATGTTTAGAGGGACATTTTTTCTCAAGAAGTCCCATACTGTTTTGTGGTAATGGTTCAATTTAAGAGGTGGTTTTCTCCTTTGATCTTTTTCTATTGAGCATATCTCATCTGTATTTTGCAACAAAATATTATATTCAAAAGATAACAACCATCAGTACAAAGGGTCTGCTTTTTAACAAAATACACACTGAAGGGTAACAACGCCAACCAGTTGTTCTAACGAGATCAGAATGGCTCAGTGGAGGGCATTTTTGAAATCTGTAAGGATATTTTTGGTTATCACTACATCTGTGGGATATGTAAGGGAAGGATTCGGGGATGCTATGCATGTTTTGAAACCCTGCTTAGTTCCTTAGAATCAATTGATATGAATTCTGCAGATTTCAAATGGTCTTCTGAGACTACATCCAATGTTAATATATAAATAAAACAGTTCATTATACTACTTCAGAAAATTGCAGGGCAATGGTACAGTTACAAGACCAAAGCTCCTGGAGTGCCTTTAGCAGACCCAAAACAAAACATAAATCTGTAGAACATGCCTAATACACACCCAAAGAATTTCACTGACAAAAGTAGTTCAAATCTTTCACATTATTGGCATCTATAAGTTATTATTTCTGCACATGACAGAAAACCTGGATTGGGTGAAAACTACAAATTGCGTACCATCATATTAATGAAACTATATTTCCTATTCTTCATTGTCTAAATTCTAATTTGTCTCTGCATGTTTTCCCCAGTTCAAATAGGAAAAAAGGTCAGAATTAACTTTCTGAACGCTTAGTTCATGTTTGAAGGCTTTCTATAATAATTAAAATCACACATACGCTTATTTAAAATAATCTATACTTCCACACCAAGCTAGAAACTATCTCTTGTTGGGTGACAAGAAATACAGTAAGCGACGGCACAACCCCGAGCCTGCACTGCGAGGTGGCCGGCGGGGGCCGGCACACAGGGCAACACTTTGCTAGCGGTGAATATCCGCCGTGGCGGCTCTCACTTCAGGCCGGGAGGAGTCCGGGGCGTGGCCGAGACGGACTGCAGAGCTGAGGTACTCGATGCGGTTTTTGCTGGTGGCAGCGAAGAAGTTCTCCGCGCTCGCGATGTCGTCTAGGCTGGGGTCGAAGAGCCTAACGTGGAGATCAGGCCTCGAGTCCGGGTCGAGATACAGCTCAAGTTCCTGCAGTGGGTACACTAGCTTCGTCATCTGTCTCTTCGGCAGCCCTAGCACCTTAGCAAAGCCCTGGGAGGTGCTGTAAACTCGGCTCAGGCGCCCCGGCGCCACCGATATCTCCAAGAGCCTTCCCACAGCAAGCCTCACGCCAGGGGCCGCCATGTTTATCTCCCAGAAACCCGTCAAAGCTGCTTCTTTCCCGGAGTCTGGGAGGCGCGTGCGCGAACACATTTTCGCGACGCCTGCTGGGAAATGTAGTCTCCGCTCCCTAACTCCTACCCTCAAATGTTTTTGCTTAATCCGGCGGGAAGGGGGTGGTGACCAGCCAGGGAAAGTCCGCTCCGTTTGTTCCACGCGCTGGTCTGAACTGCCCTGGAGCAGTACCTTACAGTGCGGAGGCGGTTAGCAGTTTCTAGACGTGAAATATGCAGCTGGCTATGTGGCCATAGGTTCTCAAGCGACGAGGTGATAGTGTGAAGCTCTGGTGAATTCCGAGCCTGTTTTATCTTAACACTTCTGAGTTATTTAACGGATAGTTGTCTTTCTCATACATTTAGATCACTAAGAAAAATATTTTGAAAAAAGAAAAAAATACTGGTGAAAAATGTGGTTGGAAGAGCACTTGGGGGCAGGAACTGTATGTCAGCTTTTTTTCTACAGCTGCAGGAAATGACATTAAACTTTAGAAATGTCTTACAAAATAAGGGCAAAGCATTTTGGTACAGGTGCTACAGAACTGTTTCATGGAAATTCCATCACAATATATCTTATTTCAAAGATTCTTACAGCCGTTTGAATTTGTTAGTAATGGAAAGGGAGTACAGGTGTTCTTTGATGAATGAAAGTTATTTCTGTGTAAAAACTAAATGTCTCTTAAAACACCAGCACAGCACAATGGAATGGTAACTCACATCTCTTAAGCTGTTTCCTAGGTTGTTCAGAAAGTGGGGATTCTTGAATAAACATGGTACAAAAATGAATGAAAACCAGCAATTTTAGAGATAGCCAATAGAACAGCTAGTTCGGTTAGCCAGCCAACTTTTAATTATCCTTACATTAGCCTTTGAGGCTTCTATTTAATAGTCTTCTCCCCAGTAATAAGATGTTCTATTGTATATACATCCACAAACCAGAGATAAGTTTTTTTTTTATTTTGATACGCCATCAAACATGCCACTGGTTTCTTCCCAAACATAGCAACATAGGGTTTGGAAATACACCAAAGAATAGAAGACCTTGAGCAATTCTTGGAGATACTTTGGAAGTGTTCTGAGATTAATACTCATCTCATTTTTTAATCTTTCATGGATCTGACCCTATTTGGATTTGATTTGACAGGATAATGTTAAAATCATTTGATGGACAATCTGCAACCTAGGACAATCTGCATTCTAAATTATGTTGTCATGTAAAGATTGTAAAGTCAAACAGATAATCTACAGGAAATAAATATGACTAGGAAAACCACCTCACAATTTATTTAGGCTTTGTCCTCTCTTTCTCAACATTCTTTTAAAACACTTATGTAAACCAAGCATACAAATTTCAAAAAGATGGTTTAGAGTCAATATATGCTATGTTTTTCCTGGACACATGATTAAACACTTCCCTAATTTTCAAGACATACAAAATATCATAGATGAAACATATAGCAGTAAGACCAGAAGAGTAAGTACAATTAGGAAGAAATAAGGGAACCCTCCCATTGTTGAGCTACAGCAGAAATTAGTGAGTATAAGGAGTTATCAAAGTCCAGGAAAATCAAGTCAAAATCAGTATTGAAGGGAATCAAGTCTGGATATGGAATGCTGCAGTGGGACCCTGGGTTCTGGCAATGCCTTAAATCTGTATTTTTGGCAGAATCTGGGTTTCCAGTGGTCTTATCTGTATATTAAGTAGAGCCTTAGCTAATTGCTATAGATTGGGAATCAGGATCTACCTCTTGATTGAAGGGTTTGGTTTTAGCTAAGATTCTGTTAATGGTTTGTGTTTATCTGTCTTCTCAAAGCCTCATGCAGTCATTGGGGCAGCTTCTAGAGCTTGTGATTAATTCACGATCCAATGCTGGGACTATGGGTGTGAGGGCTACACCCATTCTGGGGCATATAATCTACATAAAAATGTAAGGATGGGACAGAGCCTTGCTAGCAGTTGCGTCTGCTGCCTCTCCCTTTGCTCTTTGTTGTTTTCTGCTGCCATGAACTGTTGCCCTTTGCCATGTGCCCCTCTGTCTTGGAGCCAGCTGAGTATGCACTGAAATGACCGCTAACTGTGAGCTAAATAAACCTTTCCTTCCTTAATGTTGAGAGACAGGTATTTTGTCACAGCAATAAGAGAAAAGCAACTAAGACAAAATCAGAATAGTCTTTAATCCCAGTGGGGAAAAGAACATAGTGCCCCAAATTGCAATATCCAAAACAAAATTCCTGTTATTCTCTTCTTATCTGCTCATTTTGTGATTACAAAGCCCCATTACAATATATGACAGGCTGGAGAGATGGCTCAGTGGTCTAAAGCACCTACTTAGAACAAGCTTAGCAAAAGCATCAGGGACCGCGGTTCAATCCCCCAGCACCACATGCCAG